AGTTAAAGGAATTGGCAATGTGTTGCTGAAATTCAAAAATGATAATCACCTACTATTGAAACACACTAGATATGTTCCAACCCTAAGAAGAAACCTCATATCCCTAAGAGTTCTTGATGATGAGAGATATTAAATTAAGATTTAGAATGGTTCTACTAATATAATTAGAAATCAAGAACTTATTGTCAGTTCACCAAAATTCAATGAAATTTATGTTATAGGGGCTGAAATCACTTCACTTAATAATTCTGTGAACTTTGTCACACATCCCGATAAATCAGACCTATGGCATAAAAGGCTTGGCCACTTGAGTGAAAAAGGCCTAAAAACCTTGTCAAGTCAAGTGGTATTTGGAAATGATAGTGTTCAAAAACTAACTTTTTGTGAACAGTGCATTATGGGAGAATAGGCCAAACTGCCTTTTAAGGAAGGGCTGCATAAATCCCAAGGTATCCTTGAATATATACATTCTGATTTATAGGGACCTGCCCCTGTACCAACTGTATCTGGTTTCAGATATTATCTTCTCATTACTGATGATTTTTCATGAAAAACGTGAATTTTCTTATTAAAATCTAAATCAGATACGTTTTCAACTTTCAAAGAATGGAATTTATTAATTGAAAATCAGACCAATAAGAAGATAAAAATTTTAAGAACTGACAATGGGCTTGAATTCTGTAATTCAGATTTTGATCAATTGTTCTAAACAAGGGATATTGAGACATAAAACGGTCAGCTATACTCCTCAACAAAATGGAGTTGTTGAGAGATTAAATAGAACTATTCTTGAGAGGACTAGATGCATGTTAATGAGTTCTGATCTTCCCAAAATCTTTTGGGGAGAGGCTGTGAAAACAGCTTGTTATCTCACAAACAATTTTCCTTCCAGTTTTCTAAACAATATAATTCCTGAACAAATATGGTCTGGAACATTACCTGACTACTACTACCTCAGAACCTTTGGCTGTGCAGCATATGCACATCATACATATTCAAAATTAGACCCTAGATCATTGAAGGGTGTGTTATTAGGTTATGGAGAATGAGTTAAAGGTTATAGACTATGGTCAAGAGTTGTGAAAGGTTATAAAGTGATTACAAGTAGATCTTTAATGAAGGTGATTTTCCT